GCAGAAGTGTCACAAACTACACTTACGCTAGAGAAAATTATGAAATTAAATTAAATGGTCACTAACATATTTTATTATGAGGTTATGTTATGTTATGAGTAGTAGTTTATTAAATTTATAGAATTTGTGATGCAAAATTTATCAAAACGTAATTATATGTATAATAACCTAAGTGAACATTGCCTAAATTTTCAAAATTTTCAAATCCCCTTAAATTTATTTATTTAACTTATCAACATTTTAAAACATTAAAAAAGTTTTAAAATTTACAAAAATTTTAAAATTAAAAAAAAAAATTTCAAAATTTTTAAGACTATTAAAATTTTCAGAACTTGAACGTTTGTGAATTATTAAAATATTAAAAATGATGTAGGCAATGACAATTTTTTGTAAATTTTAAATATAATAAAAAGGGCTTTGAAAGGGGAAGTACCTAAACCATAAAAAGCAGTTAGGATTCAAAACATTTTTAAAATTATCAAATATTACAAAATTCTTAAAATTGTTAAAATTTTCCAAATTTGATTAAATTTTCAATTTTTCTAAGAGAACTCTTTTTTTAGTTTTAAATTTTAAAAAATTTGGGTAATTTTAAAATGTTCACTTTACGTTCGTTTTCAGGACGAACACAAAGAAGAATTTAAAGCCACTTTTATTTGTTCAAAATTTGACATCTGCAGATGTCAATGTCAATGTGATGACATGTCAACTGTTAACGGAATTAACTTTTTTCCAAATAATAATAAAACTACACTGTTAAAAATTTTCATCCTTACTTTACAATAAAAATATATTTATGCCTTAATTGTATAAGTAATATTACTGTAGGTATTTCTATTGTAACGGGTGCGACACTAAAACTGCGTTTTTTTTTTCATGATAATAAAGTGTATGTTCATATATATCAAGAATATAGGAACGGCGGGTATTGACGTACACCTAAGCAATAAAATTAATTACAGATACACCTGGGAAGATATAGCTTCAAAATTTGTTGTGGGCGTAGCCTAAGGTTCACTGTAGTGATATCCGGTGGAAACAAATACATTGATATTAAGCCAGAAAAGCAAAAGTGTATTTAAAATAAACGGTTTATGTTCGGCATTGCGGGTATTACCGTACATGCATAAACTATATTAAAAAGGTAACAAATTCAATATATTTGGTATATAAACATAAATAATAGCATACAACAAATTAGAACAAAATAAAAAATGTGGTATATAGTAAATATTCAGTGCTGCAAACCTGGACAGTAGCCGCAAATATAGTCTTTAGGACTATCATAATGGCGTACGGGAATACCCGAACCTACTATGTAGGTTAAAAAAATTTACTACGATGTTATTTGCAATATTTCAACTTACTTTTTAGACTTAAATCAACAACAAACACTAATTGTTCGTATACTGGCAGCACTGTTTTAAAAAACCAATTCAATCACTGTTTGTTGTAATTAAAAAGTCACAGCGGTCTTATAAGACGCCATGCAAGAAACTTTGTTTTGGTGTGGAAGTTTTTGTTGATAAGGTAGATTTTTAATTCTTGCAGCCATTTACCAGATATCTAAGTAGGCATCGTTTTATGCTTTAACTTTTCCAAAATAGTACACGCAATCGAAAATTTGGCATTAACGGGATTACCCGCATGTACGCCAATACCCGCCGCTCCCCTACTATTTTTTTTATATTAACGTATCTTGATTCAAGATACGTTAATATAAAAACTTGTATAGAAAACCTTTTTATAACGGCATGAATAGCGTAACGGGCGCGACCTTAGAAAATCGGCAAATGCGACCAAGTTGGCTTCTAAACTTGATACTGTAAAATTTTGGATGAAAGCTTATAGTAATAATTTTTTGTGTAAAACTTGAATAGTAACCTTACACAAGCAAGTATTTTAAATGCACAAATATTGTATACCTACTTTATTTTCTAAAATGTTCTTTAAATGTAACGGGTGCACATTTTTATCGAGTATTGAAACTCTTTAGTGTTTATTCCTAATGTTTCTTGGCATCACAATGAACGAATATTTTAAGGTTATAAATTACGTCGCAATTAAACTATTTGACTTCAGATATATTTGTTATTTTATTAAATAACACATCTGATTTTTTGTCAATGTGGGGTAAGTTTTCGTTGAAATACCTTGTAGTAGTATTGCATTTTTCCTACACTTTTTACAAGTTGATCCTATTAACAACAAAAATACCAAGAATACTCAAAGAGTTGCAAAAATGTTAATGTAAGAAATAATACAATATTCATTTGTATTTTTAATGGAAATGTAGTTTGAATACTTTAATTTAAAAAAAATTGTAATGAGAAATATTTTCATTACTCATTAAAAAATTAATGAGTAATGTCGAACAATACATTACACATTAAAAAATAAAAAATAAGTAATAAGAGACCATTAAAAAAATGTTTAACGAAAGACATTACCAATTACATCAGTAAAAAATGATCAGGGGTGGGGGTTAATGTGCTCCTTAAATTTTTTTGTTATCATATAAATGATTTATAATGAATGAAGCTGCAAAAAAATTTTCTTTAAAAATATTAGTAACACTGTAGGTAAATTTTAAACTCTTGAAATACCACAGCTAAACGCTCGGACACGTAAACATAATTTTTGGTCGTAGATTCCAAATCCGTGCTCGGTTTAGCTGTAATCTTTTCCTTCAATAAAGGTGACTTTTAAAATAAAAAATAAACCATTTTTTTCAATAAAATTGATTACTTTTATATAATAAATATTTCCGCTTAAAAAAAATCCATGCTTTTTATAAAAGATCAATTTCACTTGTATCTATATAGCAAAGCGTGCAAAAATTAAAAACATGCATGCAATAAAAATAACTTCCTTAACCACTAAAAATGAGTACCCAATTTAAAAAAGAATACAAAATTAATTTAATTTTCATTAAAAGAGAAGTAATGCATAATTAAAATTAAAATCATTACTTAATAATAATTTTAATAATGATCATTACTCGAGTATTGAAACCTATTAGAAAAATAATGCATTAATTGCAACTCTGCTCGATAGCATCAGTCTCTGGTAGTATTATTGAACTACAAGGTTTCTTAACAATACATTTAAAGCATACGAACGTAATTTGTGTGTTGCGTTACAAGTAAAAATGGCAAAACTTTGGTTTAGTATACTAGATTTTGATTTATCATTCCTTATTTCATTGATTAAGAAACGCTTATATAGTAACGTAAATGTGCGTATGGTGAATTATTGTGTTTTTAATTGTAAATGTAATTCAAAAACTAAATTGCGGCATTTTCATGTTTTCCCAAAGGATTCGGCACGTATATTTTTTAGTGTAAAATTAATGAATGATAACTTTACTTAATACAATTTATATTTAAGTTTGGACACTTGTAATAAATCAGAAAAAATAATAGTTGTACAAACGTAACCTTAAAATCAAACATTTTTATATTTGGGTCCCCTTAAAAAACGCCGACATCTTCATTTTGAAATAGCAAACGACCAAATATATCTACGAATTAATGGCAATATAATATTATATATATATATATATATATATATATATATATATATATATATATATATGGGTGAGTCTACAAAAGTTGGGCAACTTTTGACCTCATTTTGTTATGAGAACATAGATAATATAATAAATATACTGTTCCAGACCGGGCCAGTCACTTTTTCAAACAGTTTCTGAAATATCTGTATTTTATAAATTTGAATGCAAGGGAAGTGACGAGTATACCAGGGTACTAATTAAATGCATAATTTATTGGAAAATATAAAGTTTATTGCAACTTTGAGCATATTGTTTAAGTATTAAATATCTTAAAATCAAATAATACCACACATCAGTGGCGGCTGGTGGATTTTGGGAATACCGATATCTCAATTATTAGATATGAGACTCACGCCAAATTTATATGAGTTTATAATGACATTAAATGAACAAGTTCTGCGCAAGCAGAATTTAAATTGAAGTTTGCGATAACCGAAACATCGAACATAAAACTGACGACACGGTACTAATGAATGGGATACAAATTTGAGATTATAATTCGGAATTAAGTATTTTACTGATATTTTTTATTAGTGGATGCTACTTATCAATAAATCACATATAGCCTTATATAAATTACAACGTAAGAAAATAACTACATCCACAGTACTGAAATTTTGACTGGAACTATACGTGCATTCACCACAACTTCGCCGCTTGCATTGTTTTTAAGATAACTACTCTGTAGGTAATTTTTTACCTACACTTGAGTTAAAACGAGGACTTGACGTTTAAACTTCAATATTTCGCAGGAATTTTTACATTGGACACAGAACTGACGGGTAAAAGTGAGTACAAAGATTATCAATTTTTTAAAAATTGCTATTATTCGAATCTATGATAAAATATGAAAAATACATTATTTAATGTTTTATAGTTTGTAGTGAAATTGAAAAATTTAAGAATAAAATTGGGTGGACAAGTTTAAAAAACCTGAATCTTTTGTAATATACTGAAATATTTACAAAAAAATATTAAAATACCTACTCTATTGACTGATGACATCAAGTTGTCCAACTTTTGTAGAATCACCCATATAATACATGATACCTGTTTTTGTTTTTTACCGTTGTGAATACTTTTTCAATCAACCCCTTTTAATAATGCATAACGCTGTTTGAATTTAGACGTTTTTAATTTATATTTACAGAACTGTATGCAATTTATCATTTCACGTTTATTCTTAAAAACACTCGTATTACTGTTTTCTTTTTTTTCTGAAATTGATAATATTAATTATTAATTGTAAACCTAAATTTTCAGAGAGGTATAACGAAACAAAAGGCGTTACAATTTGACACAATTAAAAAACATTTAACCTTAAAAAGTGTAATTTCTTTGAAGCGAGTTCAGGCAAACCATTAAAAGCTTGAAACTAACAAAAAGCAGCAGCCAAAGCTAGTTAAGAATGCAGTTAACGTCTTACCTTGTGGACAGTTTGCCACAGTAAGCCTCTATCGCTTTACTTTCGCCTAGTTCTGCGGTGTTGTGAAAGAATCCCTGCTCCTCGTTCCACTTTTCCTCGTGTTTGGCCTCTTGGTGGGCGATCGTTTTGCCCGTCAACGGGTTCTGCCCCCAGTCGCTCGAGCCGTTGATCAACGCGTCGTCCATTCGCACGTCCTGGTGCAAGCTCTGATGGTTTTCGTACGATAATCCCACGTTTCTAAAAACAAAGGACCCTTGCTTTGAAATTACATTATTCATTTTTTAATTAAATCCAAGGTATTATGCGCGGATTACAGAGATTATATTTTAATGTTTTCCGTTAAAAATAAGCTTACTATGATTAAAAATTATACAAGACTCCGCACCAGCATTTCAATATGAGAACGTGTATTGAATATTTTTCATAGTACCTCTCTGAAGACAACACATTTTTAAATAAATAAGTATTTTTTGTTTAAGAGAGAAAGGCAGAAGTCTTACTCGACAAATTTTGTTCGCATAGTTTCAATTGCACAGCTAAATCGCACACGTTATTTGTGTTTCGCGTTGCAAGTAAAAACTGACAAACTTTGGTTTAGTACTCGATTTTGATTTATTTATCCTTATACCATTTATTAAGAAACTCAACGCTTATATGCCTATTATCGATGGTTATTTGACAAAACATCGTAAGCGACAATTTTGTTGAATTACTTTTTATTTTATCAAAGTGTCAAGCTGCACATTTTAACGTAATAGTTATCCCAATTTTGAAATCTTATTGGTCAGTTTGAATATTTTTATTATTGTAAGCGCCTCTTCTTTTTAATTTGTTACCGATTTATAACGTAAACGCCTATATGTTCCCGACAAATAATCGTAAGCAACTCCGAGACATGGCGTTTGCGATTTAACAATGTGTCGCTTACGATAATATTGTGCTCCCGCCTTGATCCATCAAGGCGTTATTCCCGCTCTAAACAGTTTATTCGTGAGTATACCTGCATCGTGGTGATTGCTACCAAGTTTTAAAACAATATTTTATTTGATCAAAAGGTTATAATTAGTTTTTTCATTGCATTATTAATAGTTATTCTAATTATAATTGTTCTTACCTAGTGTGGTTCGTTAAAAGTGTTTTTTGTACTAATTGTATGTTGTATCATCAAATACTTTGACTCAAATTTATAACGGTTAGATTATGGTACCATGGGTTAGATCATGGAGCCTACACAAGGAGTCCGAACATCATGTAAACAAGAATCTTTCTAAGATAAGAGGGCGCTGGTGTTCCGTTTATTCTGAAACAACTGTTTAATTTGTACCGAAACGCTACCAAAAGAGAAGACGTCAGCATCGACAATCAGCATCGACAATCAGCGCCGCTGGTGGATGAAAAAAATAAACTTAATTTGTGCAATTTATATGGCAGGTTTTGTCAATTTCCCCTATTAAGTTCGGGCTCCTTGTGTAAGCTCCATGGGTTAGATACTGGATTGTGAATAAAAATCGTTCGTTTTTTTCAAAGAAAGCTAATGTAGAATTTCACCATTGTTTGGCAAAATATCGTTGGTGATATTTTATAAATTAATTTTTTTGTTTAACAATAAAAGTAAAAAAATAAATGTCGCTAACGATGTTTTGACAAAAGTAATCATCAAATCTATATCCCACAGTATGTACTTAAACGACAAGACTAAGTTAACATTATCCTAAAGATGTTCTTATAAAATATCGTATGCCACAAAGTTTAATGAAAATTTTAGATTGAATTCGATATTACTTAAATATTTGAATTCTACATTAATAAAATAATGCTTCACCAATTTTCAGATAAATAACTTAAAAAATAAAGCTCCCAGACAAAAAAATCTCTCCTGTAAAATTTAGGTTTTGTCGCTTACGATGTTTTGTCAAATAACCATCGATATATATAGTTACGTTAGTGTTTGTATTTTATCTAAGCGATTATGGTAAATAATTGTGTTTTTAATTGAAAATTTGAGAAGCAAAAGGGTACAGTGCAAAAAATATAGATGGAGACAAACAATAAGTGAATTCCATTGGATTCGCCGTTGCCAAAATGTGCTTTGTTTAATTAATATTTTGATAGCCATTGTTTGTTATGCTTTAGTAATTAGTTAGAAAGCGAGTACAACCTACGTACATCGTTACAGGGTTTGGGTAAAAATGCTTTATTATTTAATAATATTTTTATTCATTTATAGCCAGACCATTGGATAAGAATAATTTCGGTTTTCCTGTGCCCTACTCTCATAGAATTAATGCTAGAGTATAATTTTCATTGAAAAAGAATATTATTATTTCTATGTCTATTCTTGTGTAAGATTGAGATTTCAAGCGCCTCGCTTTTAAGTATTGTTTTGAAAGTTTATTTAGTTATTACCTATAGGTACTATAGTTAGTTATTTCAGTACCTATAGGTACTATAGTACAAGAAATTGTACTTACAATTATGACATTTGCCAAAAAACAAAATGTTATTAAGATTGTTAGATTTATCTCGGACTTAAAAATGGCCCAGCAACTAGAGATGAGACGGTCCTTTTGCCTAATTTTTTATGTTTCCAGTCCAAAATTAGCCACTAAATGACATTTAGTAAATGTAAATACAGTCTCGCGCTTTGCACGCGCCACCACCACCGAATTGACCAATAAGGGCGGCGCTTGTTTTGATTTGGTCCTAAAAATAGTAACCACTTATAATATTTTTGATTCAGCGCTTGATTTTTCAAAAAACTCCCAAAAGCACTTTTTTTATGATTTTTCAAATTCATGTAGAGTATGGAATTTAAAAAAAAAAAAAAAAACAATAGCAAATTCTTGTAGAACATTTATTAATTGGTGGTTAAGTCAGGCCATTCCGTGGACCAAAAAAGAAAGCCAAACAAATTTCGATTTTTTTTATTATGGTATTTGTTAGGATTGAGCTTTGCACGTTTTTCATCTAAAAATCTCAAAACTAGAAACTTCAAGCTTAAAATTGTTTTTTTACGGCTTCAATACGACCATTTTTAACGAAGATACAGCTATCCGAAAAATCGCAAAAAATTTTTCTATTAGTGTAGAAGTTTTACATTGCTATTGGTTTCTTATGTGGAAACTATCAAATAATAAGAAATCAGAATTTTAGTCTCGGTCAAAATTTTCAATAACGAAAAATGTAATATATTCTACATTTAACTTTATTATTAATATACATTTTACTCAAAATTAATTAATTTATCAATTTTAAAAAATTACTCTATTTTTTAAGATTTATGTTATTTATTGAAAGAATATGCTTTATTGCAGAGGATTTGAAAAAACCGTTCTTTTACATCTCTACCAGCAACAAAAGAAATTTTAATTAAATCAATCAATTATAAATGGCTCTGCGTGTGTAATAGTAAAATGTATTGTTGGCTATGCTTACTTTTGGACAAAGAAATAAATTTTTAAATATTTTGAATACCTCACTTTAACGCCACTGAATTTTAAAATTTTTATCAAAACTAAACGGTGAAAAATTTTAAAATTTTGAAATGAGTCAGTTATTTATATTTTTAATAATATATCAAAAAAACTCGAAATTCACAATTCTATTTTAATGGCTAGGTTTTCAAGAATTTAATTTTTTTTTTTTTTTTTAAGACAGCTTTACAAATTCGGGTCATATCTTGAGTTATAAACGGCCAATCAGTTCCAGCAAAAGGTGTAAAATTAAACATAATCGAATCGCCCAACAATATCACTCTCTTAATGCGCATAAATTCCCTTTTGTGGACTTTTCTTAGATAATTCTAAAATGGTCATATTTTGATGATTTTTATTCGTTTTTGGCCGAAAGGTTAATTCGGAATTCTGTGCTTTTTGGTATACAAATGGTTTAGCAGGTCAAATCAAAGATAATATCTTTGGGCCAAATTACATCAGCAAACCAGTCTAATTAACCCCGGAGCATTCGCCATTTTTGAAAAAACAAATAAAATCGAAGTAAACCTAAATAATAGTATATTATTATACGGGAGATAATGCAGGCTATTATTCACAAGGATGAGGTTTGCATCCGAGTAAATAATGCGCATTATTTCGAGTGTAATACTATGCTTTTTCTACTCAAATTAAGTAATTTTCATTGATGACAAAATTTATTATAACCTCACTTTTTCCCGATTTTAAAGATCATTATAGTCGCCCCTCGTATATATAAACAAATCTGACATCTGTTAACCTTACTTTTTACCAATTTAAAACCCGATTGGTTCAAATAACAGTGAAAAATTAGCCAATCACTGATGCCTAACAACGTGAATAATGAGTTCAATATTCCCGTTGTTACATTGGGCGGTTATATTGGTTACCATTATTTACGAAAAAAAAACAAATAATGTCAATAATATTCAATAGGAGTAGAAAAAATGTTTTTAAACCCTTATGTTTTTAAAATATATCGTCTAAAAGTAAGAACTCAAAGTTCTTAGATGTTAAAAACTATGCAAAAACCAAAACTCACTTAAATAAAGTATGGCCAATGTGTAAGTCTAATTGAACGTAAAAAAATCTGACAGCTTAAAATTAGGTTCTTTTTTCTATCTACTTTATAAAATTGTATAAAATAAAAATGCACTTCAAGTTTAATCAAAGTTTAATAATTTGCAATTTAATTTAATGGCAATTTTGACTTTACTTCTCACAATTGCGGCAAATAAAAAACATTAATTAATTAAGTTTCATACTTTTTTCCTAATTCTTCTTCTTTTTAGATACCTACTTTTTATTTTGCGGTTAATGCAGTATTTTAATTAACATAATTGATTTATATTGTCAAGAAGTTTGATATTTATCGATTTATGTAATAAATTTTAACATTTTGTGCGAAATATCACTTTTCTTTTGATTTTAAAAAAAGCTTATTAATGTTTTTTAAAATGAAAAAGCCACAAAAGAAATTGTATTATTAAGTCTTCGATGCTTGCCCCGGAAATTGCGTTGTTTGTAACAATGTCGTCTTATCTTTTATGTATTGAAAAAAAGATACACATTTTTATGACAAAAAATTAATTTAAAATCTTTTTTTTGTAATATGAAGTTTACTGACAATTTAAATATTCGTCGGGAGCTTTATTTTTTATTAAATAACCTAGATGAAAAAAACATTGTTTAAAAAAATTAAGTTTTATTATATTTTTGTTTTAAATTATATTTTTTAAATTTTTTGTATTGTATGAAATAAAA